TGGGCAAATGTCCGTGTGACATAATTGGATTGGATAGGTTGTGCCGGAGCCGCGTTCTGTCCTTCTAGGTACGTATGAAGGGAAGTCTTCGGTGACGGATCGGTATTCTCATACGTGATATTCTGGGGATAAATCGCTATTTGGGTAGCAGCTACTGACCAAACGACCTCTAGGCTTTAGCAGTTGCGTTCATCTTTTAGAGGTACATTTCAAGATTCCTTTCGGCAAGTGCCTGGTGTTCTGCTCATTTACTTACCAAGAGTGATGTGAATCTGTCCGATCCCCACGGGACGATGACCTTGATGTTTGCCTTGATGGTTTGATGGCTTCATTTCCCCGTGGGGTGTACATTCATCGGGCCTGGGGAATTGGCCAGGGATTGAAGTCTGAAAGCCACTTCTAACCGTCCATTCATGTTTATTACTCGGCACACATCGCGTGGCCCACGAGTAAGAACAATTGAGGTTTATACACCACTCATCATTCTCTCATATACTTCCTTCTACTAATAGAAATATTTGGGCAATATCAATCCCGCCCTATGGGCTCTCTCAACCTCACTGGTCAGTACCTAGGTAGTGAATAACTGAGCGTCAAGAGAATGAAACCCAACTTCAAGATCTTGTAGATAGGTACGATATCCATTTGCCTACTGTTCGTACCTTCCAGAAGGCCGGTCACCGGGTGACCTCTACCATTACGGTGGGTGGCTTCATGTTACCCTAGGACATCATGCAAGGCTCAGAAAGTCAACAAAAGGTCAATGCAAGGAAATGATCGACAGAGGACCCTATCGGTAGACTACAAATGTATATGTCATCGTCCGCTCACTCATTACCACTAGTGACCGGCTCTTCGTGTCAAAAAGCCAGTCGCAAAGCTGACCATCGATACTTGTATAAGCGTCCCTGAATCAAGGTCCGGCGAACACCTGCCAGTCTGTCAATACTACAACCAACTGCAAGGTACTACCTTATTCTAAATTTGTTCACGTTCAACATACCCATCATACCATGACTGGACATTACCGTCGAAGGGCGTGAAAATGTTGTACAAAAAGGACCATCTGAAGGCGTGATACTCCTTGGTAGCATCGTCATCTCTATGGTTTGATGGCTGTTCGTTTGTTGCAAGAACCGAATCAAGAAATACACACCCAAGCACTCGTGTTTGCAGATCGACTGGGGACAAATGGCATGCAATATAGTACATCTTCTTTAGCCCAACTTTCGTCTACAAATTACCGTCTAAATCTTCCTTCTTCTATCTTCTAGGCTATAGCCATTAGAGTTGAAACTACCTAGATGTTAATGTCCTATGTAACACCCGAATAGAGTAGCAAAGAATCTTCTAGTATCACCACTCCTGTCCATCCCCTTGGATCACCTACCCGCATAGGGATCTGTCTTCTCATGTCACAGCAACGACGGACAAGTCCCTAACACGTATTAAGTGCCCTGAAATACTGGTACTGGAGTAAACTAGGAGCATCTCACGGAGGTAGAGGTAACACGGGGCCGTTGGGAGATTGGAAACGAAGCAATTCACACGCTATGCAAGTAGATAGGTAGATAGGTAGTCTTGGGTATAAACATTTTGACATGAAGGCAAGCTAGCGGCAGATGATTGATTCTGCTCATAGGCACTTGTCAGTCAGCCCAACAATGCCACGAGCTCACAGCATCACTCACTCCTCCATCATTCCATCCTCCTTCGGCGCCTCCCCGACAGCCCCAGGTCCACCACCCAACTGACTCTGCAACCCCTTCTTATCAACAACCATAGCCCTCTGCAACTCCCTTTCCTCCTCCCTTAGCCTCGCCCTCTCGAACGCCAACTTCTTTTCTTGTCTTCTCTTCTCCTCTTCCACCCTCTTCTCCCTCTCTTCCAACGCCTTTTCTCTCTTCTTCCTCTCTCCTCTAGCCTTCCTTAGCACCTCATCCTCCTCTTCTCCCGCAGCACTTTCCGCCTCTGGAGGTGGCGCAAGACCTTGGATGTACCCCTCGATGAACTCATCGCGAGTCTTGGCGTCGAGGGAGATATACCGGATGTCTGCGAGGATCTGGCTCGGAAGGTTGGCCACCGAAGAGTGGTTGTTCAACTGCCTGAGCGGTACACTCTCCAGCAGCTTCTTCAGGTCGCTCTTGAGCTGCGACTGCGGGATTTTCAACCGGTTGATATGTTCCCTGTACAGCTTCTCTCGTTCCTTGTCGCTAAAGCTCCTGTGACGCGCCGAGTCCTTCATCACCTCCTCTTTCCGGTATTTCCGCTTGAACTCGGCCCAGTATAGCTTCGGTGTCGCGTGTTCCTGTAGGAAAGCCAGGTATGGTATCCTAGGGTCTTTCTTCTCTTCCTTGGCTCTGGCTTCTTTCAGTGCTTGGATGGCCTCGCACGACCACTCGTCGTAGACTTCCCGCCGCTCGCGCATTGATGTGAGAACGGTGTACCGCGGGTCGGAAAAGACACCGGTTTTGTCGCCTTCGTCGATCAGCTTTTGGAAAGGGGAATAGGGGTTTATGCGGAAGTCGGCGAGGAGGTCGCGGAAGAGGAGGCGGGCGTCGGTATCGGAGAGGGGCTCGACGGTTTCTTCTTGTGCGGCAAAATCGTATTCTTGGTCGATATCCATGTCGTCGCCGCCTTCCATCATGGCGAGTTGAGCGGCGAAGTCGTCTTCTGTAAATTCGACCGGCCCCTGGTTTTCGTTTTCGGTGTGCTGGCGCTTGGAGGGGTGTTCGGGGTCGTCGTTGTCTACGCCTTCGTCGTCGGTGACTTCCACTTCTTCGTATTCTGAGCTGTCGTAGTCGTGCGCCTCCTCTTGACCCTGCTGTCCTGTGCCTTCAACCTTCTCCTCCACCTTTTCCTCCATCTTCTCGTGGCTCTTGTACTTTGGATCTTCCTCAAGCGGTGGCTCCCCAGCCGCCTTCCTCCTGATCCTTTCCTTGTCCAACTCTATCACTGCGGGCAAGATCTTCTCTGGTATCCGCCAGTAACTCGCGTTCTTGACCGGGTTGTAGGCAAATCTCCTCCCATATTTTGTGTAAACCAGGAACCACGGCTCGCAGCCGAGGATGGCGATCTTCGCTTTCGGCTTGTCCGTAGGCTGCGGTCGGGGCTTTTGCTGCTGCTGCTGCTGATTGCCACTCTGCCTCCTGCTCCGAAACCCCCTCGCCCGCCGTGTTGAGGTTGGCTTTGTTGGGCGTACTGCGCCATAAAGGCATTGGCAACGCGTGGATCGGAGAGGTTGGGAACGGATTGGTGTTGGAGGTAGCTCATGGAGGGGTTTGCTGGCGCCGCGGCGAGCGGGTGGGCGCCGGGAACTGGCGAAGCGGATGGAGGACCGAACGGAGAAGCGGCGGCTGGAGGAGTAGGGGTCGGGGCCACACCGGGGCGCTTGTAGGTTGACTCTTTGGTCGAGGCATTGTAGTAGTAGGTGTGCCCGGTGGGCGCTTTGTGTTCGGTCCAGCCTGGTGGGAGCGGAGGGAGAGCACCAGGCGAGGGTTTGTATGTTGATTTCAGCATTGCGGTCGTAGTCAATGGTGCGGTGGGAGTTTGTTGAGATGAGTGGCGGAACGATGGCTGAGAGATGAAAGATGGAAAGATTGGAATCCACAAGGCTGAACCGAATCCCAAAGCGAAAGTCGCTGTCGCAATTGAACTTGGAGCTGAAGTGCTGGTGGAGATTGCTGGTGGAGACTGCTGGTGGTGAGTGCCATTCGGTAGAGAACGCGGTCCGCGTGCAGGGATTAGGTACCTAGTCGTAGCCCTGCGGCAGGCAAAGTCAACGAGCTACCCGTTGACAGGGAGAAGGGTTAGGGTTGTTACAGCGAGTCACCAATGATCCTGTTGAACATCATCCATTTCGATTCGCTTCCAGCCGATTTCAAGCGAGGAATACAAGCAGTACAGCATAGATCACGCAAATAGCTGTCATCACCGTCCGATTGGAACAAGGAATCTAGCACGCTACCTACTTCTGCAGGGTCATCAAGCTCCAGGGCGGGCAGTTCCTCTACAAGCAACGAACACTGCTCTTCTTCCTCCTTCTCTTGTTTCCCATCTACCATTGACTTACCTTGTGCTTCCACTTTGCTTACTGGGTAATCAGCTCCCTTCAGTTTCTTACTTGGGTTCTTGGGAGAGGTCTCAGGAGGCGGTTTCTCCCCAACCTTCAACATTACCCCATCAACAACCATCTTTCCATTCCAGTGTTTCACGAATCTCTCCATCTCTTCCTCACTATGTAGACTCACCCAACCATGAGTCTTCAACGGCCCCGACCTGGCCGGTGGACAGACCGCTACGGCTTTTGGTTCCCCGAAATTCCTGGTCACGAAGTTGAACAAGCGTGCTGGTCTGCTTAGGGACTCGGGCAGGTGCGCTGCTCCGCTCTCGCCGTCTATCGGCACAGGTTCAAGTTTCACTGTCCACGGAAACTTATCCGAAGGCCTCGGCACCCATTCCCACAGCTTCCTATTCCCGTGTTCTTCCCACGTATACCTTTTGACCACCAAGCCTCCAGCCTCTGGCGCCCTCGCCACAAGTGCGAGCATTGTCCCCAGCGTACGCACAGCATCCATACCAGCCGAGTGGTGCCTCGCCCGGGGCTGGATCCCATGGTTACGTCTGAAGTTGACAGCTAGCATGGTATCCCTCAATGAGATTTTGAGGTGCGTCTTGTGAGACTCCTTTTTGTCTTCCCATCTTGCACCCGCAAGACCGGTGCGGGAAATATCACACAAGTGCGTAACATAGTCTCCCAGTAAAGGGAAGACGGAGTCGATAGCACGGTGTTCAAGCTCCATGTCGAAACCGATGAGGATGATAGGGGCCGTAGGATTTTGGAGGCGGATGGACTGGAATACTGCGACCACAGCGGACTGGAGGTGGGTAATGGGGTGGTGGATCACTTCGCCGTAGTGGAAATGCTCGTAAGACCGGGCACGCTTACGGCCAAGAACGGCAAAGCAGTAAGATTGCAGACGGTAGTAAGAGGCCATGGTGTCGAGATCGATCTGTCCTTGATGGTGATCCGGGAAGGGCCATGGCCATGAGCCATCCCCTGACTCTGATGCCGTGGAGATGGAGAAGACGGGTGGCAGGACGGAGATGCCGACTGAGGTGACACCCTGCGCTATCCCCTCGATGCCCTCCACGTCGATGCCAATGCAGTAAGAATGAGGCACCAGAGAGCGCAGATGATGAATGGTTGTGATCTTTTTGGTGGATGACAAGCCTGGAGGTTGTGCCGGGCTATCGAGACACTCGGACGATGGCGCACGGTATGGTGTGCATGTGCAATGTGGCGCTTGTGCACGGGATTGGGGGCTGGCGTCTAATTCGGAAAGGGAAGGCGAATCAAGTGACATTTGCGCGGTTTTGGTAAGGTGTGGTGGGTGATGATTGTGCCGCTAACGTGGTCGGACTCGAGATACTATTCGACTGGGCAATAGTTTATCGATTCTTTGAGACGGCGGGGTGAGCTGATGGGGCGTTGTTGAGGGTGTTGGCGGGACGTTGAGGCGTGGGTTGCTGACTGAAGCCGGTGACCGAGACGACAGCGAGTGTGAGGTAGGTATATGTACAGAATGAGAAGTACAGAATAAAGAACTGAGTTACGAAGCGTATGGAAGTGACTGCTCAGCCAAACATGTGGAAAACAATGAAGAAGGAATAGGTGTGAAATGGGTTGGGTCAAGTTGAAGGTTGAACGGTGTTGAGAGTGTGGGGACTTGAGAGTGAGGTTGTCGGGCACGCGGCCCGTACAGATATTGGAACTCTGCAGTTGGTGCCGCTCTACTACATGAGCCCTATTCTGTACACGTACAGAGTCCTTGATGCCGCTGCTATAGGGCCCACTGCGCTAAGAGCGGGCGCTCCCTTAGTGGCCCGATCCTGCCGTTTTAGCGGGATGCACTACGCAGTAACACCAGTTTTACCCCACCCCTCTCCCTGTCCCACCGAACCGTTGTTGGATGGACCATTTCAGTTCTCGAACACTCTTCTCGGATTCGAATCAAGCACCCCATCTCAACATCCACATCGCTGCAGCTTCTTACTAGGCTCCCAACATACGGCATGTTCCTGACTGGACGAGTTTTGCCGCTTGTTGGCCTTGGCTTTTCTTTTTTGTCTATCTTGCGGTGCGCGATCTAAGCACTAGCTCACTGGCATTGCTACATCAGTCTGAGTTTAGGTCTGTCGGCCGCACCAAGGGAAGAAAGAGGGGACGACATCCATCTCGCAATGTGGCGTCAAAAACACAACAGTCCGGGATATCACCAGGCCGGTCTCGAACTGAACTACATAAGCTGTGCCTTACGAAGCCTGATAAAACCTACGGCAAAGCGGGCAAAGAGGGCAAATCCAGCTATTCTTTTCCAATATTTCTGACCAACAAAGACGAGGACCACCCAAGCACTGGGTCATCTGCACATGATGGCAGACCTTTCACCACCATCCACATCGTTCCGTATCGCAAGGCGAACCCAAGACCTCACAATGTGACCGATTCACGAACCGCATATCTTCGATACATCTAGTTTGGGTCTGAACATCATGACCAGTATTGCACAGCATGTCATGAGCGGCATGGCCGAACCCCCTACCGCCCGTGCACCCGCCATTTTTTTCCTCGACGTTTTTGGCTTGTCCAGCCGAGACAATGGCAGCGGTGGGCGGACTGTCGTGAAGGCTTAAGTGAGACCTTTCCACATTTCGTCAACCTCCTTTTCTGGAACCCATCCATTCAGGTCATCACAAGTCCTGATAACACGCCCTAAGCATGCCCGCGGCTCGAAACTAGTCGGCCGTTCTAAAGGCCGCACTACTGCCCCCCGAGGTGCCGCGGCCCGGGACACTTTTTTCTCGCTTTCTTTTGCGGCTGCATTGCAACCTTCTTCGTTGGAAGCCACGATTGAAGCCTCCAAGGACCCTTTTCCTCGCTATTGATGTCACCATGTCACCATGTAGACCGGACAGTGCGGACGCTATGCCACCCTTGATGATGATCACTCGAAGGCCATTGTCTCGAAGCTGCGACCCGTGCATGCCATGTGGGAGAGACAGTGCCTCAACCAACTTTTGATGTCTTCGCTGTCTGCGAGGGGGGGGGGCAACTTATATCTACTGTGCTCAAGCCAGGATCTCTTCCTTCGCGATCAAGTGCCTCTTCACTCCCCTGTCCTCATCTTTTCCAACTACCGAGACTGATTTCATCCTGGACCACCGCCAACATGCCTCGCTCACCAAAGTCAAGCGACTTGGTCTTCGTCGATCATAACCCGATTAAGGGCTCTGATACTCAACTCACGGCCGACACCCTCCGTCGACTAAGCATCGTCTCAACTGACTCGGACTATGAACTCATCCACTTTGGCGAACCTCATCACGTTCCCCAGACAGAAGCACAAGACGCCGCCTCCGATGATGACAATGCCTCCACAGCCTCGGATAATTCACACATCTCAATTCCCCTGCCTTCTACCAGCACCACATCTCTCCATATGGCCGTCGCTACCACGGCTTTCAGTCCGCCTGCAGCTACCTCCTTCCCAACGATCCTCCTGAACAGGACCGAGAGGACCTTCTCCATCTTTTGTCGTTGAACCTCACCTACGGCCGCCACTTCTTGGCCCCCATTGGCGACAGCCTCAACAAGATACTGGACCTTGGTTGCGGAACAGGCAAATGGACGGTGGAAGTTGCCGACAAGTTCCAGTTTGCCAAGGTGGTGGGGGTAGATCTGAGTCCGATCCAACCGGTGATGAGTCCGGAGAACGTGGAGTGGTGGATTGATGATGTGGAAGATGAGGAGGAGAACTTCTTTGAGACGGAAGGGTATGATTATGACTTTGTCCATGCGAGATACTTACTTCCCATGGTGGTCGATCCGGCCGGGATAATAAGGAAATGCTTCGAGTGAGTTAACCCTGGCCGTCCTCTCTAACAATCGTCAAGACCAAAGTTACAATCCTGAAGACAAAGAGACTAATACATACCCAAAAGTCACCTAAAACCAGGTGGCTGGATCGAAACGCAAGACTTCCATCCTCAAATCAGGTCTGACGATAACTCCATTCCCGCGAAGGAGATGTATCCGCCCGGGCAGCTCATGGACTTGGCGAACATAGCTTGGGCCCACGCAGGCACAGACTACCGCGTCACTCCCCAAATAGGAGAGATGATGAAAGAAGCTGGCTTTGTGAACGTGACGTCCAGACAGTTCAAGGTACCACTGGGTCCATGGCCTAGAGATGAGTAAGGCCCCTTTTCCTTTCCCCCTTCCATGCCCCGGAGTATCCAGAGGTGGGCAAAGAGAGATTGAAGCTGACAAAATAAATCCACAGGAGGATGAAGAATCTTGGAAATTTGCTCAAGGCAGCAACAGAAGGCCTGGTTCCCGCAATCATGGCAACATCAGGAATGAGGAAGTGTTTTGATGAGGATGAGATAAAAGAATTACAGGAGGGATGCAAGAAAGCGATGGGCGATACCAACGTTCACGGGTATATGTGGATGTATTTCTGGTATGGACAGAAACCGGAGCCTGAGGGACAGCCGGTGTCGGTATGAACGTGGAATTGAGGAAACGATGGCCGTCGTGACTGATGAACGGTTCAAGGCAAAGCAGAAGTCACATTCAGAAATTGTGAGTGTGTGAGATCGAGGGATAAAGAGAAAACGAATACGAATGAAAAAAACATCAAAAGAATCGATCCACCCAGGGGTCGAACCTGGAACCTCCTGATTCGTAGTCAGACGCTCTGCCATTGAGCCAGCGGACCTTTTGATGGCAGTGATCATGAAAGCAAGTTCCTATGAACCTCACTTTGGAAACGCCAAAAAAGTTTTCTATGTCTGCTTCCGGATGATGTTCGGCCGAGCTCCAATTGGCGGGCACGTGGCGGGGTCGACAGGGGCCGGTCAGCCCGCGAGATCCGCGACCCCACTTCAAGATCTCGACCCCTCATCGGTTTGTCATTGACGCCAGTGTCGACGTCGACAATCTTCTATTGCCAGCTTGAACGCTTCGACGATGCTCTTGAGAGACGACACAGGCCAATTCAAGCAATGCGCGAAGCGATCATAAAACATCAACCCCGGCGTATCTCTCTCCGTGTTTACCTCTACTCACACAGACTAGAGGCGATGTGGGAGACTGTAGCGTATTATTGGAGTGCAGCCCGCGATGACGTTGTCCCCTTTTTCCAATGGTCATATCCTACGAAGCCTGACCGACCGTTGGAAAGGAGAGCTAAGATATTTCAGTGACTTTTGACTCGTGCTAGAAAGGCTCCGGTAATCTCGACAACCTCCCCAGAGGGTACTGTGTACATACTCAGGCATCAAACACCACTGCAAACTGACGAGCATGCACCCCGGCCTTTATCGGCTTGTCGTGTTACTACACCCTAACCCCGGATCTAGGCGGACTGGGCGGATGCTTGTGAAACAGAACCACCGGGGCGATGACTGAATACCTACCTCTACCGGTAACTGGAACTCATGTTCTCGAACGTTCCGGTGCGCCCGGCTCACCGTTCAACTTTCATCGTTCCTGGCATTGACCGCCGGTCGTTTAAACGGGGGTTCAATACGATGTGGATCTTCCCAACGCCGAACGAATCTCGGCTTCGCATGAAACTCGGGCGAGTTCGAAGCTCGAAATGGCTCACACGGAGACCACGAAACAGAAACAGCCTGACAACCTAACAACGCAACAGTGACCGGTAAGGAAGCCATACGTTCCAGGATGCAATGACGTCTCGAAGGAGTCGACTGTGCCTCGGTGTCACTTGGGGGAGCCAATGAATGGACAACATGTCGATGGACCCCGACTGGAATCCTAGACCAACGCCAGCTTGGAATTCGGGGGAGCATATCCGGGCCGGAGTTCTCCTGGGCTTTGATGATCAACTCCTCCCCCATGATAATCTCCGCACCGCCTCCGCATCTTGACCGGTTGACCCCTCAACCCCTCACGGACACGTCGGTCAGACAGCGACTGAGGTAGCTCGGATATAAACATAACAACTAAACTTCCCCCGTGCCCTTTTAAAACCCAAACAACACGGAACCTCACCACCAACCATCACAAACAAATCGCACGACAACATCAAGATGGCTCCCACTCCGGATCTCAACGTTCCTCCCTCCTCCTCCACCGTCTCGGTGTCCATCATCAACTCAACCGCCAACATCCACGGCGTGCCCGCCAAAGCCTTCGTCTCCCCTCCCCAACATGGCCACGACTGGCTCGCAGCCCCCATCTTCGCCTTCCTGATCCAGCACCCTGCCACAGGCCGTTCCCTGATGTTCGACCTCGGCTTGCGTAAAGACACCGAGAACATGCCTCCCGCTCTCCTGCACCACTTTGACGAAATCGGCTGGACTCTATCCGCGGAAAAGAACGTGGCCGATATCCTGAAAGAGAACAACTTTGACGTCTCGAAAATCGAAGCAGTGGTCTGGTCTCATTACCACTTTGACCACACCGGCGACATCACCACCATCGGCCCTCAGGCAAGCCTGATCGTCGGACCGGGCTTCAAGAAGGGTTTGCTGCCGGGGTACCCGGCCAACCCGGACGCGGCCATCCTGGAAGCGGACTACAAAGACCGCGAGCTAATTGAAGTGGATTTCACCTCGGCCGCATCAGACGGCAAAAACTGGAAGCGCCTGCAAATTGGTCGGTTCCCAGCAGTCGACTACTTCGGCGACGGCTCCTTTTATCTGCTCGACGCCCCCGGCCACGCCATTGGCCACATGTGCGGTCTCGCCCGCGTCACGTCCCAGCAAAGCGACGGATACGACAGCTTCATCTGCCTAGGCGGCGACGCCGTTCACCACATTGGCGAGATCCGCCCTTCGCAATTCAAGCCTCTGCCGGAGGAGATTTCGCCGAACCCGTTCCTTCCTCTTTCGGCTGGTTGCGACAGCAAATGCCCCGGCGCGGCGCTCCAGAAGCTGCTGCCCAACCCGGAACTACCGACCAAGAGCTTTTACGAAGCCGCGAGGGGGGAGGCCTGGCACCATGATGTCGAGCAGACCATCGATACGGCGGGCAAGCTGCAGGAGCCGGACGCACTGGATAATATTTTTGTGGCGATTGCGCATGACGAGTCGTTGTTGGACGTGGTGGATTTCTACCCGGCGACCATGAACGAGTTTTTCAAGAAGGGGTGGGTGCAGAAGGGCCATTGGAGGTTCCTTCGGGATTTTAGGGATGGTTTGACGAGCAAGGAGGAGAGAGGCGGTGTTGAGACGGTGGAGTGGCCGCATAATAAGACTTGGGGACCTGTTGAGAAGAAGACGGCTTAGATATCGTCTTGACGGTTGTGTATGTAATACTCAAACATGAATGTTAGTGGCCTAAGCTCCCCCTTCGGTCCCAAGGTTCCAGACAAAGTGCATTTCCCGTCATACATCAACATCTGACACAACGATACACCCCAACTAAATAAAACTCGACTTGGTATTGACTGTCAACAAATTAGAAACAAACTCCGTTTCCCTCCCTCAGACAAAAGAATCGCCTACATGCTGGCGACAGAACCACCCCAGTCATCTATCTCCGTAGCAGCAGGAGCATATCTCGAAACCATCAAGTCTCATAGCGGAAGCACAAATCTTGGCCATATTCACGGGTGTCCCATTACCGGACTAGACATCTGCAAGCCTAGAAGTATGCTACAGACACTGCGAATAATAATCATTCTGGAACCGACACGCACTCCCGCCCGCGCAAGTCTTGCATCCGTTCCAGTTCTTTCCGTTGCACTGCCCGTATTTGGCGGTTGTGCAGCTGCTTGGAGGGTTGGCGGGCGGGTTGTTGGCGGGTGGGTTCCCCCCTATATTGTACTTGTCAACATCCAGACTAGAACAAGTACTGCTCCTGTGTGGAAGGGGAAAAGGGGAACATGATAGCGAGTGGACGGGGAAGATGACGACTGGGTTGGGGAGGAGGGGGAGGTAGCGGAGGAGTTGGATGGGGCGGAGAGGCTGACGAATGCGTTGGGAAGGGAGAGAAGTAGCGGATGAGGAATAGGCGGAGGCTGTGTAAGGTAAGCTGGGTGTTGAGGTTGAGGGTAGAGAGAAAGAGGTAGCGGATGAGGACGGGGCGGAGGATGACGACTGGGTTGAAGAAGAGGGAAAGGTAGCGGAGGTGGACGAGCTGGAGGCTGAGTAAAGTAAGCTGGGTGATGAGGCCGAGGATAGAAAAGAAAGGGGTAACGAGGACGGAGTGAGATGACATAGGAAAAGGGTATGGATGTCTTAAGAGCTGAGCGGAGTGGGAAAAGCCTACCGTTTGGGTTGCTAATAAGCACCGGAGTTCCCAATTTTGTCGTCTCGTCAATACTGCAAATGTTGGCACAACCCTTCTTGTCTACCACTGGTCCAGTCACAGGCCCAGCTCCGTCCGTGCTGTTATAGACCATATCAATCCACTGCACCTGCATCTCCGCCTTTCCTCCTTGCCCCATAACACCCGACCAGCTGCCGCCATCGCTCCAGACGTTGAACATGACCTGGCTCGGATCCCTCGGTGCCTGGAAGCTTATCCTGCTAACCTCAATGCCGTTCACAAACCAAGTTGACCGCCCTGGTGTCCAATCCATCCTGTAAATCGCCCAGTCGCTCCACTTCTTCCCATTCGGCATGGACACGTTTTTCGTCGCCTCATTAATGTCACTAGTGGCATTCCATGATGGTTGGTTGGTATACTGCACATAATTTGGCGGATCCAGCGTGCGAATCTCCAGGTCGGCTTCCTGAACCAACGCCTGTTGTTGAGGCTGAGGAGGAGGCCGGTAGGTAAACATGGCTGTTACTGCGCCCGGAGAGCCGCGCGTACGGGCGAGCATGCGCAGCGAGAGAAATTGGTAGGAGGTGAGCCTGGATTCGAACTCGGCAGAACTCTGGAAGCCAGAGCCAGAGCCGGAGGGCTGGGAAGGGCCACCGGAGGAGTGCCGGACTGTTCGCATCACCATGTAGGTCTTCCCATTAGCGTTCGGATCAGAAGAGCGCTCGATGTAGATGTTGTTGAACGAGTTGACCATTGGCACTGTGGCGTCGTTGAGGTCGCTGATGTTTGAGTTCATCAGTTCGGTGTTGTTCCAGCTCTGGATACCCCAGTTGTCCTTCCACAAGCTCGAATTGAAATAAGAGGATGTCGCGGAGGGCGGCGGCGTTGCCCTCCCATGTGGGATCGGATTAGGCGTTCCGGCATATTGTTGGAGGTTGCGAAAATCGAAGAACTTGTGCTGGCGAAAGTAGTTTGTGGAGGTGGTATTGGTTTTGTAACAGTGGCATTTATCGTCGGTGGTTTCAGGGTAAGCTGCGAAGGTGAGGTTGATGAGATAGCCGGTCAGGACCAAAAGACCCCAAGACCATGGAGTTGTGGTCAACATGACTTAGATATGGTTGATGAAAGAAAAGGGCTTGGCAGTGAAATAGTCTAGACTTCCCCGGCTGACAATAACGGGGGATGGGAGAGAAAGAAATATCTGGCGACGAACCGGTGCTCAACTCTGCAAACGGAATCATCAGTTACCACACTGGCGGCCATGCACCATTACGGCTCCGAACATTCCTGGCCCAAACGGCTTCTGAAACGGGGGATCAGGCCGTCGAAATTGCCAGGTTAGGACACATAATTTGGGCCAACGTCTTGAACAGTGACAAAAGCAGTCACTCGTCCCCCGAAAGGTTGGTTGAGTCAAGAAAGGGAGGCAACAAACAATGGGAAGAGACACCAAAGGAAAATTGCAAGGCACGCAAGGGCAACGAACGGTCCAACAGATCCAGCCTTCGGCAGTCGCCTGGTGACACGGGCTACTGGGACGGCAGAGATGCTCATTTGCTCGGGACTCGGAGAGCAATTCGTCAGTTGTGCCTGTTTGCGTGTACATCCGGATTAAATATTTAACCGTACAGGTTATATCCCAAGGCATATGGACTGGGGTGCATAAGCGGGGGAACGAGAACCAGTCAACGGGAATGAGGTTCGACAGGAAGCAGCTTGCGCAATCCAAGGTCGATATATTGGGGTATCAAGTTTGTATGGAACACAGCAAAGCCAATGTGAAATGGATCGTTACCTTGGCGTGGTTGGCCCACGCAGTCCTTGCCGTCCTCTTCGTCTCAACCACTCATCAGAAGAGAGCATATAAAGGGGGTAACAGCCGAAAAGCGAAGAACGGCTGCGAGACATGCCATGTATGCCGAACGGGCTGATGCGGTGATGAGATATTGTCTCGGGTCCCGATGCTGCTCTTTACAGACAAGCCACCTGTCTTCGTCTGGTGATAAGTTGGATGAGCCAATGTTTCTTGCCGTAGGGCACGGCTCTTCCCTCGGGTATCCTGACAGGATCATCCAACCAAGACATGCCATGATCCCAGCCACGGCATACTCAAAACAGGTACTCATCCCACCGATCTTCATGGTACGCATAGAAGAGCTCTTCGTAGCTGTGTCCATGGTCCTCTCCCAGCTGTTCCACGAATGCCGAAAATGTAGGAGGCCTCCGTGCTTCGCGTTCCGGATCCTCTTCCTCGTCGCCGGAATTGTAGTATTCGGACGCTTCATCCTCTTCTTCAAGCTCAAGTTCGCTCTCTTCTTCAAACCCTCCACCCCCCACGTGAGGTAGTATGTCCCCTCCATCATCGTCTTCAAAGTCATCCTCGTCCAGGAGGGGTTCCACATCATCCTCATCCTGATACGAAGGGAACAAGTCGAACGTCCGAAAGGTAATGCCTGTTCTCAAACAGCGCAGTCTTGTTGCTTCGACTTTTCTATTGAAGCGCCCGTGGAACTCGCCTTTTGCAGGCCACGAGTGAATGGCCAACGATACGCTCAACAGCTTCGGTGCCTGGGTAGCGCAGAGGCAGTCTACGCCATGCAGTATCATGTCGAGGTTGGCGTAATAGCTTCGCTTCCAGTCTTTACCGTCTCCCCATTCGCAAACCAAGGTGAAGTCACGCAGCGATGGCGGAAGCAGCTGACATAGCCTCTCACCGTCATCCTCGTCGAGAATCCCAAAGGTACCGAAAACGCCCCGGTAGTCGAGCGTAAGGCTCTCCAGCCGTCTCAGATGCGGGATACACTTGAGTCGGTGATTTTCCCGTTTCCTTGGACGTTCTCTTCCGCGCGTAAGGTAATGGCCCTCTGATAAAGCCACCAACTCGAGGCTGCGCAGCGATTCCGAAAGCCCAGTCAGGGCAACATCAAGGGTTCGCCCCTCGGGCAACAGGTCCCTGTCATCGTCTGTGGTGCTCTCTTCGAAATGGACAAGTAGATCCTGTAGGTTGGTACATGCCGTACACAGCGCAACCAGCCTCGGCTCATGAATGCGGCTGCCGTACAGACGCAGTTGTTGGATCTGGGGAAGCGGAGGGATGGTTATGTCTTCGTAGAAGAGGTTCGACGCAGAGGAACAACAAAGCTCGAGGGTTTTGAGATTCTTGAGATCTGGTAAGCAAGCAATGGTATAGTGCGAGAGCAGCTGAGGGAAACTTCCGTCTCGACTCTGCTGTTCATCTCTATGGCAGTAGATGCGTAGAGATGATAGGGTGCGCATCTGATGAAAGGGAAAGTACCGCGCAAAGAAGGTCTGTCGATGGTTGACAGGTTCGGGGGAGTTCATATAGTTCAGTATGGTGGCGCGGAAGGCAGGGAGTAGCACGTCGTTGGCGGTGGGGTCTTGGAGTTCCTGGTTGGGTAAGGGGTGGTCGGGAAACGCAAAGAGAAGGTCGCTTAGGTTGGGGGCGTGCCAAGTGATGGTCAGGAGGAGCTCCAAGCCGATGGAAGCGGGACTGACGCCGGGTTGGCCCTGCCATCGCACTGGCGGCGGTTAGAAGGTGAACAAGACCCAAGCAACCGGGATCCAGATATCCTACCTCCAGTTTGTCTTTCCCACTCTCGATGTGTGCCCATGATCATCCTAGTGCCGGTGACATTGGCCATGCATGTGATATGGCGGATCCAAGGCTTGATTTCCGGATGCTTGATCATACGCAGATACAGTGTGACGAGTGCCCTTTCATTATAGATGAGGATATGTCGCCAGAGAAGCGGTCTGGCGATGGCGAGCATGCGATGTGAGGTCTGAGCAAACGAAAGCAGCTCACGGTGGGCAAGATGCCATGTCGCACGCTGGCCCTTTGCTTCCTGACTGGCCCATGTTCCGACGGGACGAAGGGCGAAGCGGGTGGTCAATGGAGGTTGCGGGACGAGCGCTTCGGCTATGGGTTGCAGCAATTCGTTCGGGAGGCGCTCGAGGGAGGCCGTGAAGTTTTGCCCGGGGGCGGCCATGGTCTTTCGGGTCTCGCGTATCGAAGTCAGATGGAACTAGCTGTCGAGGATGGAGAAGCAGGACGGACGGAGTGTCGCTCAATGAGTCGCGAATAGGTGCAACCCGAGCTCGTGTGGTCGAAGAGACAGGACTCGGAGTCGTCGATTAGTTTAGGACCTTGGGGATAGCTTATGGCGGCGGCGGCGGTGCTAACAATTAGAGGAAATAATATGTGGAAGTCGGAATTGGAGCGGCATCCTGTCAGTTTCCAATGTGCAATTCAGTTCCGAGGTTGGACTGAATTCGAGAACTGAAGGGAAAGAGGGAAAAAGGAAAACCGGAGTCGAGGTAGTCGACAAAAGGCAGGAGGTAAGTATTTGAAGGAAGTACCTACACTACCTTCCAAGTTGTACGCGGTCGTACGGACGGGCCACTGCAGGACCAGCTGTCAAGACACGGAAGGAGTCATGGGCAATCCATCGACAATCCATCGACACCCATGCGACACCGGGATTCGTCTGCAGCCCGGACAGCCGACGGGCGGATTCAGTTGCGGAAAGAGCGATGCAATGTGGAGGGTTGGAGCTTCGGAGGGGTTTCGATGGACACGGGGCCGATGACCGATGTGGATACTACGCGGGAATGGATGAGGGAGGGAGGGACTCGGACGGTGTGGATCGATCATGATGGAGGGGTCGATTCCACTTGTTCCAATCTCGGACTTTCCATCCAACTTGCATCCAATGCTTTTCTTTATTTTTTTGATGAATCTCACTCGCTTTTCTTGTTCCTTGTTGCCTGGCCGCGTTTTCCTTTTCGTCGATCCTCATCCAAATTGCTTCACTCGGTAAATTCGTCGTCAACTGTTTACGTAGGTAGTCGGCCACACTGGCACACTGCAGTCATCGTCTCCGGTAAGACAGACAGGCAGCATCGATGGCGTACTTACAACCAATCGGCAAAGACGGTTGACACGAATCTGACCCCCGACCCAGGGAAAGCGAAGAAAAAGGAAGCCCAATGCAGAAGGACGACAAGTGCAGCCGGTCGGTATGTTCCGATCTCGGCGCTAGCATTCCATGGATGTTTAGGACCTCGTTTCGACGTTGCTCTCTTTCCCTTCTCGTTCTGGAAAGAGTGACGAAATGGGAAGCTGCCCAACACCCGCCCGGTGTTAGACATAGCGGCCAAACGAGCAAGAACAGCGCGGACCGGTCACAACCAGACACACTGCATGTCACATTGTTAGTGTTCTTTAGTGTTTGCTGGGCATTGATTGATCCTGTGCCAACCCAGCGCATGAGGAACGGATAACAAATCCAGGAAAAGAAGCTCACAGCTTTACATGGTCGCCCGCTGACAAAAGTTGATGAAGACGAAACCCATTACACTACACATACACTGCCAAGGGGATCACGGCAGGCCATGCAAACCTTCTTTTTTAAATTGCGGGGCGAATCCACTTTGGTGACTTTTGAGTACCTTATCCACCAACGGTCCCAAGGAAAATCCCCTGCGTGGTGCGATAGACGCGAGCATGTTTCAACACCTTTGTCTGTCATGCAGTGACTCAAAAGTCAGTACGCCCTACGAATTACAAGCCAAGCGAAAGGAGTCATTCATCGGCAGGCTGCCACAAAAGACGGCTGCAGTTTATTACGGCAAGTTTTCCCTACTGGTAGGATGTTGCCGACATCGCTGGCTCGTGCTTCAGGCTGGATATGGTTCGTGCACTCCTCCTCTTGTTGATTGAGTCAATTGACGCGGCCCAGACGGCCTACGACGACCTGTCAAATGGACGGGACTCATGCCGGCTGCTGAGGTGGTAAGGTGGCTCGGGTGGGTGGCTGCTGCCCCTGGCCAAGCACTTGCACCTTCCAATTCCTGTTCACCGCACTCTGGGTTACCAGCGACGGAGATTGAAACGAATCGAAATTGCAATTCGCTGAGGAAAGAGCAGCCGCCAGATCCAGGCGACCATTCAAAGCGAGCCACCAGATTCGATCCGTGAGTGGCCATCAAGGTGTCCCTTTTCGTATTTTGGTCCTTCCTCATGCGACCAAGTCCGGCATCCGGCTGTTGCATCCGCACCTGCCATCTTCCAGGCGAAATGTGAAGGTGCAATTTCTGGAGTTGGCGACTCCCGTCCATCAGACCACTTTAAACCATTATGCGCCAGGCAGTCTTGTTCTTCCTGCCAACTCGGACATTAGGTTCTAACACCGTGACCCGAACAACCGCTCAAGCTTTCAAGTTTCGTCTTCATGCGGCTGGAGTATGTGATGAGTGGACTTGGCGATCTCCATTTGCAATCAATAATCTCAGCTTCTCAGCTTCTCACCTGCCATCTTGGGATGAACCACTGTCTCGCTGTGGAACGCAACACGCCCTCTGGCAACCGTGTCGACTTTGTCCCACTCGAGGACGGACGATGCCGCGATGCTAATCATAATAGTCATGGCACTGTGAAGAAGTGCTCGTGCAGTCATGGTTGGCTACGGAACCCGGACGGCAACATGATCCAATCACCCGGTCCAAAGGGCCCGATCCTGGTCTTGGATGCGGCTCCTCTGCCCGGCAATTACTCCGGTTCTAGTGGGGCGTTTTCTCCGACACCCCGACCGCCCGGACCCCGCTTTCCGGGCCGAGTTGAATCCACTCAGCCCGCGGCTCGAGGGTAAACATCCGGGGTATCAGGACTTCACCCACTATGCCCCACTGCTGGCAGCGTCGTTTCTCCACGTTGCTAACCATGATTCTCCAAACAGGCCCATTTACGAGGCAACGCCGGACTGTCGTCGATAAGCAAACCGATACTACCAATGTGAGCGTGTCGTCCACCAACACAAAATCCAGCATCCCATGTCGTTGATGGTCGATGACACGGCGAGAAAGGAAGAAAGAAGCGCTTCCGTGAAGTGCTTTTGTTGTTGTTGTTGTTGTTATTTTTAACGTCTACTTCCGCCTCCCGTAGGGCATGAGACGTGCCGCACCGGTGAGTCTAGCATACAAAATAAGAGCAGTGCCCTAATTGTCCACCAAAACCATTAATCCGAGGGCAAACCGAGGCCTACTGCCAATGTAAATCATGTGTTGCCCATAGCGTAAACGCGGCCCAACACTTATAATCGAATCGCCCAGTGGGCGCAGCTTCCGTGAAGTGCGATCGTGAGCAAAGAGCTGCCTGGGATGAAGAGAAACCTTGATCACCGCCGCTCCGTTTTGCATCACCCACTGTCACCACCCACCGAATATTCATCACTCATCGCCTTGTCAACAAAGGAATTGGTCCCTTCAATGCGATCAGGAGGGATAAAAAAACATTATTCTACTGGTATTATGCCTTCAAGCGCAAAAAGACAAAACACACCAACCCACGAAGCCCCCGTCGTTACCGCATTACTGGCATAATTCCTGTTCCCATCACGTTCCCTCCCCTTAAGTTCTCAACCTGCACCCAGCATTATCATGAAGACCAACAGCATCACCCAAAAAAGATGCCACCCTATTTCGACCTCACTCGTTTTAAACCTCCACTGCCACTTTGATTTCTATGGCTTTTGCCCTTGTGTACCTTCGTTTGCCTTCGCACCAGGCTCAGAGCCATGAGGGCCCCCACTCGCATACTTGGATGGAACGATTGTCGTCGGGCCAAACACCTGAAGATGGTCATCCTTCTTGCATGCCACCCGTTGTCCGCACCCCGTGCAATAATAGTTCCACTCCTCGAACCATCCGGCCAGGCAGGGGACGCACGCAAGACATACGCATACAAGGCAGCAGAGGAAACCGACGAGACTATTCGATCATCTTCATCAGCATATCATTCAATAACCGCATGGGGACGGCCGGGGTCACTCACACCTGTGTGCCTCCTCCGTCTTTTTCGACCCGTGTCTGGGTCCGTCTTTGGCAGAAGGGGCAGTCGATCCACTGGGGTCCGCCGCCGAGCTGGGTGAGAGGCACCACGCCGGGGACTGGTTGTGGCTGTGGCTGTTCCATCTTGGTTGGAGGTTGATAGGCTGGTGGTGGTTGTGACACCTCTTCACGTTCTTCTTTCTGCTGGACTGGCGCTTGTTGGGGGGCCTGTTCCTGCTGTTGCTGGACAGCTGCTTGTTGGGGTTGCTGCTGGTCCATCGCTTGGCTCTGGACTGGCGCTTGTACTTGTTGTTGCTCTTGCTGCTCCATGATGTCTGGGTATTGTTCGCCTGCGTCGGTCTGTTGTTGCCGCGATGTCGAGTCTCCGGATGACGACTGGCTGGTGAACTATCTAACAACCCTTCCGAGCCACACTACCTTTGACGAACCCAACCGAGACTTTATACTACTCCCATCACGATTTCCCAATACCGAGCTTGCCCCATTACCAGGCCTAACCCACCCCCTGCTGACATCTGCTATGGCTGTGCAGGTTCCAAGGACTGCCAACCTCACCAACACTCCGTCCAATTCGTATCCTGGCTAGCATCTCCGAGCATTTACCACGTGGTTGACCAATATTTTTGCCGCTTTCCTGGGCCCAAGACATTTAGGAAATTGGCAAAGACATGGAGAAACCCATACATACGACGCTGCTAACCATCCAACAAACACCCGGGGTCTCTCCTTGGCTGTCGGAATTGGTGTTTAGGGGTTCGGTTAGGGGTCTCATTTGGGGTAGGATCGTGTCGCTGTACAGCCCGCTACGCCACAACCAAACGGATGCGCTAGACCAGTGTAAGCCAAGTGACGTTTAGTGCTTACTGCTGACGAGGTCAATGGCTGTGAGGCTCGATGCAAGGTTTTTTTCTCCTGTTTCTCGTGCAACTTCGCCAGCTTCGCGATCTCGTTCTGGGAATGGGTGTGGCACGATACTGTCGTGGTTGACATTAACTGGTGCCGATTATCCGACGCCAATTGGCCGATACCAAAGGACAGATCGAACTTTGCAACAAATGACTCGGAAGAATTCACCGTCCGATGATGGAGAAGAGGTCTTGGACTGATCGTGTTTACAGTATGCCGCCTGCTCTCGGCGAGCATGTAGGGTAATGCATTATACTGGGACAATTAAAACAGTCAACACAACACCAACGACATTGGCTCATTCCATCATCGGGAACATGATTGCGGTCAAGTACTTTCAATTAATATTATCGAGAACAGTGCTGACTGACAATAGCGCAACATACTTCCTCCGACGATGATAGACAAAAAATCGACATAGAAACGAAATACTCTCCTCGCACTCGTCATTATTCCCCCCGGTATTAAACCCTCCGCGTTATTCAACTAATGCCTTCGCATCGTACACCTTTGATGGACAATGTCGACTGAACACGATCAATGAAACACTTCTCACCGGCGGATCTTCCTACCGAATCCTTCGGCGGAATTCCACCCTCTTCACCACTGGCTCGGTGTCGTAACCACTGTTCCAGCGATCCAATTCGCATCGACCAACATTGCCACTACTACAGTCTCAAGCCTTGTCCCATACCAGGTAGACCATACAGGCATTGGCTGTAGCATAAAGCTCGTCGCTCGCACCAGGGACGATACGAATTTAGACACGAGTCCCATTCGTCGCATCAGTCGTAGTCGGACCACCTGTTGTAGCCCCAGGATTAGATGTCAACGGCGCTGAACCCTTTTCTCCATTGCCAAGACGGCTGCCGGTGGTACCGGGAGAAGACCCACGGGAGCGGAACCACATCAACGTCTCGGCCACGACGGATGAGAGGAGGGAAGTGCTGTCGCCCGGGCATGTCAGCATCACTTCTCTCCCATTATTGATTACGGATTGACTCACAATCCCAGAATGTTGAAAGCTTGAACGGCATGCTTCAAGCTACAGTGTCCTCTGTGCGCGGGGCTGTGGTAGTGGCACCTGTGGCCGCTGTAGTCTTGGGAAGAAAAGATGAGGTTGGTCAACCACAAATAGGAGAGGGCGAGGTTGAGCGGCAAGAGGTAGCCACGATATCCCTTGAGGGCTGGAGCGAACATGGCGAAGAGGTAGAGGAAGAGGGTTACAACGGCCTGTTGGTTATCAGCATTCTTTTCCGCTACCCATTTAGGCAATGAACCAGGCAGGGCGACAGGTGGAGCAGGGAAAGCGAGCAAGGGATCCGAGAGGATGGAATACTCACGATGGCCTCCTGAAAGATGACATGTGTTCCGCGCTCATGGTATTTGCGGATGAAGTGAGCCAAAATGCCCGTAATGATGGCCGAGGAAGACAAGATCAGGGCGTTGTTCAGCGAGAGCCATGTTCGAAGGAGACGCTGGGCCGTGTCGGTGACGCGCTTTGTTGTGTCCATCTTGACAAATTTGCCGGTGTTATTTTGCAAAGGACTGGTAAGATGCTGACTGATCACAGCTCGTTGGGGGGTGGGAAACTCGTGGGCGAAGCAAGGTGTGGGAGTTGGCGGCAAGAGAATCGGCGTTGCAGGAATAATAGCCAACTACTCAACAACCGGACGACGAAACGACCAAAATAACGACGACCTGAGAGTTGCAGGAGAAGAGAAGAACCTCGCTAACGCAAAGAATCTCATGGGAGCCATTATATACGGACATCAATGGGCTTTATGATGCTGTCATAGGCATGACGTTGGAGGGGAGGATTGATGTCCGCCATTGTACGCTCCAACACCAGATGAGGGCCATACCATCCGCCATCAACCTTGGAGAGTCGGGGGATAAGTCCGACCGTGGGAACAACATGAGAAGCCCAAGCGCCAGTCACGATGGTGAAGTACGGTCAGAGATGGACGTGGAGGTGCACAATAAGCCTGCTCGTCTGCTCACAGAAGGCGTACGGTCGACTTGATGCACAGACGACTTGGAGATCTCGGGTCCAGCATCTACGCAAGACCGACGTCATGATCGCGTCCTGAAGTCGGGAAGCTCAATCATCCATCGCTACGGTAACAATGCCATCATTGTTCCCATCGTATCGGAGGCAATGACACTCGATCCGCTTTGGTCCCTAATATCGATTCCAATCCCGGTCGGCCGCCTTGGCTGACAAGTCCTTGACCGAACACCGACCAGTCTTCCTTTCTTTTCGTCTTTTCTGTCCTGTTGATAGAAGTAGCAAGGAAATGAGGTGGGTTCGGGGGTTTGGTCACAACATTAGGAGGCCTCTTCCAGGTGTGGGTTGTTCATCTTGAACACTGATCGAATCTCAAAAGGGAACGGCCTAGCCAAGGGGTAACACTCGGACAGGTATGGACATATGGTGCTTCATAGCTCAGGCCAAATTGAAGCAGGTAAAGCTATAGCTGGAGCTGTTATCTTACTGATCTTGTAAGCTTGACGAACCCCAGGATATCAATATAAACTTGTCCGAGGAGCACTGACCTCCGCGCTTCCCTAGTGATCACCCTCCCCACGACGCCAAGATCAACAAGTCTTCCGGTCCCGACCTCGACCCGGCGACTCTCACAGGCTGAAACAGGGCCCTCGTTCTCCGCCGATCAGCGCTCCTCTAGGGCTGGAGCGGAGGAGCTCTGCCCCCTGTCAGGTACATGCTAGCGCTGTATCATCGCCGCAGGGCAGCTCTCAGCCGCATCGTCCAATGGATGGACCAAGTGGTCGGTTCTTAATTCATTCTTGTTCATGTCGGCAGCTCGTTTGCATTGCTTTGCATGGTGAGAAAGCTTATAGTGATCACGTCAAATGGCCGATCAACCGTGTCGTGAAAAACGATCGTATGGTTGGGTGGCCTTTCCAGGAAGTCCTGAACTGCGACCAAGGAACACGATGGACGAACCGGAGTGTCTCCGCAAGAGCGGTCTGGATTACGGACGCAAGACAAGGGCTGGGCATCCTCCACTCGTCAATGAACTGGCGGTCGAAGATCGACGGTGAGACGCCAAACAGAGCGGTGATAAGACAGCTTGCGGATCTTGGTCTTGGATTCTGAAGACATTCCGATGTTCGAGATGTGTTTAAATGATTGAGTGGCCGCTGTTTGTGTGTCAAAGCATGTCCACGACGATTTGAGCTTTACGAGTTTTGACTTCAACGACACTTGGCAGGCCCAAAGTTAGAAAGGCAACGACGATACTTTCATCATATTAGACGATCCATCATCTTACACCCATATATCTCGGCCAACGGCGCCTATTCAAGACCTCTCAAGTCCAGCAAAATGGACTCCAGATCGACAACACCAACGCCATTCCCGACCCTCCAGGTGGTCCAACACGAACAAACATCAACCACAGACCTCAAGACAGCATCATCACCGCCTAAGCCACCATCTCCATACGGCAATCTGCACTGGACCCAATATCTCCTCCGCCTTTTTCTCCTCCTCACATCCGTCGCCCTTCTAGTCCTCACGGTATTGATCACGGCAAAATGGGGACAAGAACATATGGAAAAGATATACGCGGTTATCATCGCTGGGGTAAGTTCCCTTCTCTTCCTCTAGTGGTCTGGTACTTTCCTTGTTGCATAATGATAATGGAACTAACACCGAGAAACAGACGGCCATAGCAATCATCACAGACCTCGGCACTGTTTATTTCCTCTTTATCGGGATGTCACAAACATCGACACCAGTAGCCATCGCCGTCCTGGATGCTATTGCGCTTGTCATGTGTGCAGTGGGCATCCCGAGTGTGGTGAGAAGTGAGTTCAAGACGGAGTTTGATACGGCGGTGTGGGCGTTGGCAGTAGTTGTGATGTAAGTCCTTTTATCCTTCAAGTTTTCCCGTTCTTAGGTATGGTTGGAAGCATCAAATCGCTAACGATGGCTCGGAATCTATAGCGTCGAGAGGATTGCATCAATGGCTACTTGCCTTTGGGTCTGGATTTTCATCAAGAGAAGAAAAAACGAGGGGATGAGATCGGTTATCTTCAAGCAGGAGATGGGCGCGACTTCCCAGTCTGCTTTGGCGGCGAGGAGACGGGGGAAAGAGTCTGCTGGCCAGCAAGGGGCTGCGATGGCTGGGGCAGGTGTTGCAGTTTCTTCCACTGGGGAGTATTTGCAGCCTGAGAGTGCGAGGGCATCATCGGTTGGTGGTGGGAGGCCAAGCTTAGTGCTTGCGGGAGATATGTCGGGGAGAGCAAGCTTTCCGAGTATCATTGTGGGGGGAGACGGTGCTGATGACCGAGTCTAAACTCTCGCCTCTTTCAACACCTTGGGTTGTCTCCAGCTTCAGTTGCCGAAAATTACAATGATATAAGTCCACCAGCATTCCAGCGAGAACAAACACCGGCTGCAGTCTTTATGTATGCTGGAATGAGGATGTACCGTCACGGGCTATTCAGATCGTTGGTGATATCTAAGCTCCTTTGTCAAATACAACAAAGTATAAACGCCACAGCGGGATGGTCCTTGACGACTTCATTGAACGACGGGAAACTCCTGTTGTGGAGGCTGAAAATCGGGCAATCAATGCCTACATCACAATCAGCATGATTACCAATTCCTGGCTCTGTTTTCTAAATTTGGTGTTGCAAGAACATTGTTCCCTCGTTGTTCAAAGCTCAGACCCTGGATATCCGCAGTCACGACTGGACCTGCCACCAGACGACAAAGACGAATAAGTATCATCCTATTGAGATACGCATGACAATGGGTTCCATGACATGTAAACTGTAATCTGTATAAGTAGGTAGTCCATGTCCGCTGTGTGACGTCCAATCTTCTTGTTAATCGATACGTCAGGTACCTTACGGACCACGGGACTCTCTCGCCTTCGGCTCTTCGAGTCCAATCTGCAGCACTCGAGTAATCTCAGTTCACCATTCAACACCCGCCCTAAAACAAGGCCAAAATGCGAACACCCTATAAATTTGTATCCTGCGTAGCCGCCATTCTGGCCGCTGCCAGCGGCGTCACCTCCCTCGTTCTTCCCACAGACGGCTCCTCCATGTCCTCATCCTTGTACCAAGCCCCCGATGCAATTGCAAAGCCAACCACTCTCCCAGTCCCCAGAAACATCATCGCCACCCGCGACGACGACGACGTAGTCTCGGGCGGCAACACCACTCTTCACAACATGAACGACGGAAATTCATTCTGGATGGCTCCCCTCGCCGACGACGACGACGAACTTCCACTTCCAATCCCAGCCCCAGCCTCAAACCAACCCAACAACGACACGTCCCTCCATGTCGTCCCTCGCTACGGCCCCGGCGCCTCCCCCGGCAAGAACGACCCCAAAAAAGTGTACTGCGCAGACTTCAAAGAAATCACCGACGAAACCAGCGACAAGTCGCCTCTGATAGCCGACTGCCTAGGTATCATCCCCAACATCGCGCCTCCGGAGCACGGGGCGCACTGGAAGTTCATGATCGGGCGGACGCGGTCAATCGTCAAGAACAAGAGCTGTGTGTTGGCGGTGTCGGCCAATCATATCGGGCAGAAGGGGTCGTGGATGAATGTGGGCAATATGGATGTCATTAGCGTGATTGAGGAGTTGGCGGCCATGAGAGAGGGGAAGGGGGATAAGATGGGGGGAAAGACGACTGCGCAGTGTAAGATTGTTGTTACTGCTATGCCGGGGGAGGTGGAGTTTTCTGTCTTTCATACCTAGGTGTAGTGAGTAAAGATGGAGTGGAGGGTGGGGGGTGAGGGGTGAGGGAAGGGGGTAAGTTCTGTGTTGTCTCTGTATGTGGCTGTCTGGTGGATGCGATCACACTTGGAACGATGTCGAGGGCAATGATAGCTGTACTCTGTTTGAAGAGATGGTTGATTCATGTTTCATACATCTGGGCATGTTTCACTAGACGTGATATGGTAGGAATAGTCGTCTGCAAGTGTGATGCCGAACAGACGAAGATCATGAACATTGCGCGAGAGAGACGGATCACCAGAAAAAAAATAACATAATCCAAATAAACTCCATAACCCCTTTCCAGCCCATCCATCCATGTCCATTCCAATTCCTTTTGGTATCGTCAAAAACTTAAGTAAGAGGGTATAAGTGCAGGTAAACAAACGTGTGACAGCTAGTACAAAAAAAAACCAAAAAAAAAAAACATGAAGCCATAGGTATCAAAACCACCAGACATCCCAACATAACATTACCTCATCCCTCATTCATATCCACCAGCTCTCCTCTGCCTCGCATACCCATATCCCTGTCCGCCCTGCTCCTCCAACTCAATTCCACCGTGTCCACCATGTCCACTCCCGTGCATCGCCTGATTTCTCTCCAATGGATTCCCCAAAACGCCCTGGTGATAGATCTCTTTCTCCACTTGCCGCATATCAACATGTCCGACGGCATTCACACCGTCAAAGATGCGTGCAACTTCTTCCAGAGTCGGCCCTTTTGTTTCGACGTAGAAGAAGTAGACAAAAGTGAGCTCCAAGCAGTTCCAGATGGTGTAGAAGAGAGTAAAGTTCCAGTGGTGGGGGAGGTTGTCCCAGGCTAGTTTGTTGGTTTGGCTTGGAGGGGTTAGCATTCGACCCTGAGAGCGGAAAGAGAAGGAACAGAAGCAAGGCGGGTAGTGGGAGTCGGTGAGGTTGAAGTGGTAGGGGAAAGCATAAGCAAGTAAGGTGAACGGCATGAAGACGATGTGTTGAAGTAGATGGGAAACGGTGAGAAGGGAAAAAAAAACCCCAAAAAAAAAAACCAAAAAAAAAACCAAAAAAAAACCCACTTGGAGATGGCAAGCACAGCCTGCACCGTAATATTCATCAACATCATGCCCTTCGCTCTCAAATGGAACGGGAGGACCTCCAACGCGTACGCCACCAACAGTCCCCGAAAAAGCCAATATCGTAAAAGATGCCGAATATCCAGATGAACACCAACTGCGTATAACCGCTAGTCATGTTTGTCTCCCCGCTATACTCATACACGGCCCCGGTCGCCGTCCAGCACGCAAAGCTCACGACCATACCGCACGTCGAGATCAAGAATAGCGGCCTGCGTCCGAACCGGTCGACATTGAGCGCCGCGAAGATGGTGACGATCAGATCCAGGATAATTTTCCCTGTCGAGATGGCCAGCTTTTGGCTCTGCTCTGTGATCCCTGCTCCGCCGTAGATGGCATTCATGTAATTGCTGAACAAGGCATTGCCCGAGTACTGGCTGATGACACCCAGCGAGATGATAATCGCCAAGCGCCACCTGTTTCCCTTCGTCTTGACGAAATCGACATAGCTCGACGCCTCATCGAGCTGCTTCTGGATGCGAATCGTTTCCTTGATCTCACGAAACTCAAACTGTACTGTTCTGTTGAGCCTATCACCGCCGGCATGCCACTTGGCCAGGATATCGAGAGCTTCATCGTGACGTTCCTTGTTGATGAGGTAGCGTGGGGATTCGGGGACCCACCAAATACCTGCGAGCTGGACGGCCGAAGGCAGGACCTGCAGGAGCGTGATGGAGCGCCAGGACCAGTTAGAGGCAATGTTGGATGTGCCCCAGGCTATGCAGGACACCAGAAGCGCGCCGGCATTCCAGAGACAGTTGTAGATGGCGGTGACGGGGCCACGATGTTGCGGATGAACGATCTCGGTGAGGAGGAGGGGGGAGGCCATTTGTGCGAGCGAGTTGCCGAAACCGAGGAGGAAGCGGCCACCCATGTACACTGTCAAGGTTAGTAAACTCCCTGAAGGAGGAGATAACAAGAGGGTACCTACTTCCATAACCGTTGCAGAAACCTGTTAGGAGTCCGCCAAAGATCATGATGATACACCCAGCTACGATGGACGGTCTTCGTCCGTAATTGTCGGCCACGTATGGGGTTATGAAGAAGGAAAAGATGGAGCCGATGTTGAACATGTTGATCAAGATTGCCAGCTTGCTATCCTCCACGGGGTCTGGCTGCGTCGAATGAGGAAAGAAGAAGCTATTCCACGCATGAATTTGTTGTGATGTGTTCAAAAGCATGCTGTCGTAGCCCGTTGTCGCCGATGCCACCATCAGGAAGAATGTCATGCCGTAGAGCTTCCTCAGATGTGGTTCCCTCGTCCAGTAAACCCTCTCAAACCGTGGAGGCTCTACCTCGGGTATCTCCTCGTAGATTTCCGAGACATTGTCGGCGTTTGGATTGGGCTTGGTGTGGACGTTCATTGCTTCGTCGGGGTGTCCCCCAATCTCGACCCGGATCGTTCGTGTCGTCGGCGTCGTAGTTGGGATGTACTTTGTCGTTGGCATTGACGTTGAAGATCAAGGGTAGTGAGCAGGAACAAGTTCGACTTGGGGTTGAATTAGGATATGTACGTGTCAGAGGTAGGCGAGTGGGAGGAGACTGGAGTCGATAGTAAGTTGGATACTACGACGGAAGATCTTGAGAACGAGAGGAGTAGCAGTGAGGGTTCCACTCGAGGTAGTATATGAGGGATCCTTGAGGCATCTGCTATGTGAGTCCTAGCGGGTACTAGGCGGGAAGGGGTCGGGGAAGCATTGACATGCTGAAGGAGGCAACAAGAATAGGTGATCATTCTGGGGTAAGACATGGTCGTGACATCCCAGTAACCATGAGTTGACGATGCGAGGCCACTAAGTAGACCCCTGGGAAGGATTCCCAAATCCATCTCTGTTTGGTATGGTCCAAGTCTCGAACCTCGTCTTGTTAGTCAAAGGTGGAGTCATTCATGTTCCAATTCAGGGGGAGGAAATGCAATAGTGGAGGGCCGGTACGAGGTCTGACTGGACAAGAATCGAGAACTCTGGACAAAGGGGTGAGAAGACGGGGTCGCCAGCCGTCGTTGCATCGCAAGTGGACGGCATCTCTCTTCAACGACACTGCACCAACAAGACTTCTTGCTGGATCAGATGGAGGAGGCCTTTTTTTCTGTGCCTGGAGGTGGTGTCGTGCGGATAGCGGGAGAGGCTTAGCGAGAAAAGCCACAGGAGGCCCAAACTCCGGATAGCAACGGGGGTGAGAGCCCCGAAAGGAAACCATGACCGAGGTGATGGACAAGGCGTCCCAAGTTCCCAACGTTTCTGTGTTGCGCATGGCGGGGAGGACAGACGGGTCTAGCTTTGCCATGGTCGACCATGTGTTCTGCCTCGCAGGGGTTCTCCGCAGTGGAAGGCTTTCTCTCACCCAATCGTGATGGCTTCTTGTCCAGTGTAGTGAATAGTGTAGTGGATAGTAAAGAGCTGCACTAGCAGCCTTTAGCTAGTGTGGAAAATAGTGAAATAAGTCCATGAGAATCCTCTTCGTCTGTGCGTCTTCTCCAATGAACAAAACCATGTCGAGTCCGAGTACAGCACATACGAACTCGAGTTTTGTCGAGCCCTGAGACATTTCTGGCAGGTTTGGGGCCCTTCGCTACCTCACCGTCGGTATCGCTCCTTTATGTGACGAGCCGCCCAGAAGGGTTGCGAGACTGGCTAGACCATGAGATTGATATTAAAAAGTCTCACTTCCAAGTCCCAACAGTCAGGAATTATCGAACGTTGGATGGGTAAGAGCATGGCTCGCTTGTCCCTGGAATAGAGGCAGGGAGAGCTCTCGTGGTCCCCAAGTTGTGGGCGAAGGTGACGCCAACCCCTGTCGGCAGCTAGGGACGTTCATCCGACTTGGGTGGATGGATGGGACTCGGTGAACCGGGTGAGGCCGGACCAACGCACCCGCACAGACATTGAGTCGAAAGCGATCATATTTAATCTCGCTGAAGCGCTCGTCGTGTGGTACTGCGGACCAACAAAGTCTTGTGAAGGAGCATGTCGGCTAGCTAGCTGTGGTCGCCTGGCGTACTCGGTTCCAAGATAGAGGCAGAGGCGAATGTTTGAGCTGAGAGGCACAGTCTTGAAGTGATGATGAGGAAATGGAAGGTTTGTACATAAGGTCTATAAGGTCTATGTCAGCACGGCGGCAATCAGTGATGAATGATGATGGGGAGGATGTCTGATGTTGGAAGCTTCCAGTCCACTCAGCCATCCCTCTTCCACGTGGGACAGAAGTAAAGAAAGGGAGTGACCCGGGTGCTCAAGTCCCCCCTAGCTCTCACTGTGAAGATCTTTTTTCTGAGCCTCGGGTTCAAGACGATGCAGCAGTCCAACCTCTCCGGGTGAATAGGGTAGGGCTGTGAGTGGAAGAAGGAGGAAGGAATCTGGGTGACATTATCCGCCCAAAAACCCCACTTCCCGTCGTTCCATTAGTGTCACATCCCTGTGTTTAATTGCAAAGGATAGACATGCCCGGCCTGTCAACCTCCATGTCTCCAAGCGGATCGCTGTTCCCATCACTTTCTCCATTTTCCCCGGATTTTCATCACCATCCAGAGTCGAGACTGTCACCAACACCGACCTCGAATTGTGATGCAAGTACGGGGAGTTCGGAGTAACTAGGCTGGCTTGGTCGGCAACTATCGGTTTTGTGGGATGTGCAAGACGCGGAAAGAAATTGCAGAATCCGTCATGGAAGTCATCTTGCGTTTTGTGATGGTTCTGGCGGAAGCAGCAACAACGACGATTGATGGGAAACTGAAGAAGGGAAATTGAAATTGATGGCCACCACTGCAATGAGGAAATAGACGCTTGGCAGCCCCGCACCGACTAGATTGTGGGCTTTTATTGGTTCAATCACCTCAACTCAGGACCGCTGCCTGCCGCCGCTGATTTCCTTCTGCAGTACAGCAGCCACAGCAGCCCGCCAGCAGTCTGACGCAGTGGGCGGCCCGTGCCAGCGCCCTCAATCACTTTTTTTCCTGGCTGGGCCCGAAAAGTGACATGGCGATGGAAAAGAGAGTGAGGGAGAAAAAAGAAGAAAGGAAGGCGACGACATGGTGACAGCTTCCTCGCCTATTTCCGCGCCGCTGCAATTGCAAGTTTACTGATACGACCCAACACGGAATGGAAACGACGACTCAAGACTGCGCGCCAATGCGGGCGAGGCAGGCAACGGAAGACAGGCGAGACAGGCGAGGCCGGCAGGACAGGCGAGGCCGGCAGGACAGGCAAGAGACGGCTTGACCATCAAGCTGGGAGGTCTGGAATTGTTGGAAAGCAGCAACCCTGGTTTATCCATCGCGCTTCCCGGTCGGATTGGTTGACTTCCAATTGGGTCCCGTCGTTGCCAACATTGGAATGGGCAATCTGGGCTGTACCTAAGCGAATGGCAAAACGGGGATGGAAAGAGCAGAGGCATGCACGGTTTGGCAGGGGTGAAAGAACAGAAAGAATCGTCACAGAAGATCTGAACAGGTCGACTGACTGCTTCGGAACTCAACTCGCACGTCGGCGCCGACAATGTCATCCCCCTCCGGCCTCCAAGGACCAGCTACCGCCAGCCCTCGGTGTTCCGTGTTACTACGTTGGGATGGAAAAGGATGGAAATCTGTCAAGGAAAGTACATTGTCACATCGTCCTTGAATCTCATATTCGTCGTATACAACTTCTACACCAGATAACGAACGAAGCAATTCTCAATCATTAGAGCGGGAGTCTTCCATATTACAACCTCCCTCCGCCATCAATCATTCTTCCCGACCCCTTACTTTACCCTATCCATTTTCCCCCAGTCGGCATCTCATTCCACACTCAGTTCCCATTACCGTCACCATCAACATCATCTCCCTCCCCGTCTCCATTCCCATTCCCACTCACACTCTGACTCAACGACAACACCCCAAAAGCCCACTCATCCACCGCCTTATGCCCCTTGGTCGTCAGATTCGTCTTCATCCAACAGGTATGATGCGTCTCCTCGTCGCCCTGGATCGCACCCCACCCCGCTCCCATGCACCCTTGCTTCTGCGCACACTTATCCAAGCACGAGTTGAAGCTGGTCGTGTTTACCGAGCCAATGTCGACGGCTTCGCCTTTACCAAAGTCAACGCCACAAAGGCGTGTGAATTTCTTGCTGGTGCTGCCACCGGGGCTGCTAGAGTTACCGGCTACCGTTGCGATATACGAAGTGCTGTTGATAGCCGGACACTCAATCTTTGCGATGGCGGTTGCAGTGGAAGACGCACTGAAGGCGCTGGTGGAAGTGGCGGTTGCGACTGTTGGGGAGGGGTGCTGGGTGGGTGATGTGAGTGCCCTACATAAGGTTAGTCCTCCTTGCTTTTGGTATGTCCTCAGGTTATGTTTGGCAAGACGGAAGGAAGACCTACCCAAGTCCTGCCGTGATGCTCGCTTGCGCCAGCTTCAAGTCATTCTTGGCATCGTGAAGGTTCTTCTGGCTCACTCCTAGACCTGCCGCAAGACCAATCATTGTCGCGAGAAGCAGGGCCAAGGTACCGATGACGGCAAGTGCGATGCTTCGCTTCACCGTGAGGAGGGTCGACCCCGACCCAGTGGCGCCTGTGTTCTTTTCTGGCAACATTGGCGCCGCTTGGTCCGGATACAGATGTTGAACCTCGTGGGGCACAAAGCCTGTCTTGTCCGCTTGCTGAGGACCGGGGAACGGCTGATAGGGTTGTCCAGCTCCGACCTGTGCGGGCGGGTATTCTTGCTGATAGCTGTAGCTTGCCATTTTGGCATACGTCTCAATCGCTGACAACGGCCAGGACGTCGATGTGATATATGTCCAATTGACCAAGTCGCACTTCACACAAAGCGGCGCAGCAGGAGTAAAAGCTGAAGATGATATTTTATGAGATTCTGGGCCAGCCTCGGACTTACATTGAAAGGGGGCGTCGGGTGGAACGAATGAAACGCCAGCTTTTTGATGTTGTGCGAGCTGCGCTGAGTAACACCTAACACCACGCTTTCCATGGTGAAAACCGTTGCTTTTCCGCGGACCAGTCATGATCGACTTTATCTCGGTGCCTGTGTACACAATAGTAAGCGCTAAGGATAAGCATACTATCCCGCTTGATAACTGCCGCTGTAAGATCAGCCTCACTATGTTGAGAAAGGCGTAGTGCATCTGTATGGAACACAGCGAAACTGAGGAGAAAACACAAGCGGTCATAGGGCTAGATGATCCTCTTCATTCAATTGAACAGCGTCTAGTGTTGCACGAACAATTGGATGCAATATTACCGAGTGTCTCACCTTCAATTGTTTACCTCCCCTTTTCAACAACATCACATCCCCTAACCCTTATCTACTTATCTAGCCCTCGATAAACAACACCGACGTCATCATACGATAACGCTTCTACCGCGCCATTTCTCGACATGATTCATCTTTCCCTTCCTTTTCCGCTCGTTTCAGGCCTAAAATAACCTCTTTATTGACAAGCCCACGTGCATGAGTTTGCGATATATTACCCGCCATCATTCCACCCGCATCCCGCATCGGTCTGCGGCCAGCATGTCCACCACCACTGCTCCAAATCCTACCTCTAGCCAGGGGCAGAAGAAACCACTAAAACACCGATCAGTAGTATCCTCCTTCATCTTCAAACTCCCTCCATCTTACCTCCCCCCTTCACCCTACTCCTCCCCATCCACCATCCCAACCTCCTCCTCCTCATCATCAGCCCCCTCTACAAGCCGCATTCAAAAACCCCTCGTAGCCCTCTTCAAACGTTCCTCCATAGTCAGCACCTACACACACCACCACGCCCCCATCTCCGGCTCTATCGAGCCCACCGATTCTTCGCCACTTAGTGCCGCCTGGCGCGAGATTCACGAAGAAACTACTTTGACGGAGGCTTCCGGGCTGAAGCTGCTTCGGCAGGGGAAACCGTATTCTTTCGCGGATGAATCGGTTGGAAGGGAATGGACGGTTTGGCCTTTTGCTTATGTGCTGACGGAACCTTCCGGGAATGGGGATGGGGTTGGGGATTGGGTTGGGAATCAAAATGGGGAGGGGAGCGTGGCCATGAAGGATAAAAGGATCAAGATCGACTGGGAGCATGAAAGTTGGGCATGGTTTGATCCGTTGGATGTGCAAGACACTTCACAATTCGGAGGCGTGCCGAAGCTAAAGGAGAGTTTGCGGAGGGTCTGGTTTGAGATTGATCTCGGACGGGAAGCTGGTAAAGTTTTGGCGGAGGGGTGTAGGCGCTTGCAAGAGGATTATGTGAGCGGGGCGAGGCAGATGGCTGGTTATGCGTTGGGTGTCTTGAGGGATGTGGTTGATAAGATGGATGATGGTGTCTTTGATCTTCATGAAAGAAATGGAGATGGTGGAAAAGAACTGGAAGAAGCCAAATGGTGGAAAGACATCAGAATGGCTGCATGGCATCTCTGGAAGAACGGACGGGAGAGTATGGGCGCGGCCATCATGTCCGCTTTATTATCTGCTTTGGCTGCCGTTGAGGCTGAAGTTTTCGTCCAGGGGCAGCATTCCACCGGCACCGGCACCACCACCAGCTTCAATAATACAAACAACGAACTCAAACGCACCATCATCTCCATTTTAAACCGGCAAATATCCACCCGCTCCTCAACAAACGACCAAATCTCCCAATCTTTCGCCACTTACATCTCCCACCACATGCACCTCTCTTCAGTCGGCGTCATCGACCCCCACATGCAGAACCCTCTTTCCATCCTGACCTTGTCAGAATCCTCAACAATCACCCACGCCCTCTCCCATCTTCCCAGCCTTCTTCCCAACTTACCTCTCGACATCCGCATCCTCGAATCCCGCCCCTTGCTCGAAGGCGTTTCTCTCGCCGCCACCCTCGCCAAAGCTCTCTCCTCACAAGACTCAGACTCCGACTCAGACTCGGCATCCACTAAAGATAACCGTCAACGGCAACACAGAATAACCGTCTACACCGACGCCTCAGCCTGTTTAGCCAGCCGGGGGGTACATCTGGTATTGCTAGGTGCGGACCGCATCGCCTCAGATGGCTCAGTGAGTAACAAGACTGGCTCGCTAGCTATTGTCCTCGCTACTCGATATAACAGTGACAGCACAAAAGGAGCAGGAGGAGCCAAGGTGGTAGTCCTCTGCGACTCGGAAAAGGTGGCGCTTCCTGGACCGGCAGAGCAACACGTCGTGGAGGATCAAGGGTGGGAGCAAGTGACGAGGGCGTGGATGGGCGAGGGGAGTAGTGAGAGGATTAAAGGGGCAGCTAGGACGGTACTGAACTTTGTTGATGCCACTACAAGAACCGAAGAGGAAAAGAAGATGAAAGACGAAGAAAAGGAGAATATGGGGGTCAAGGTGGGAGTGAGGAATGTCTCGTTTGAGTGGTGTCCTGGAGGGTTTATTGATACTTATGTTACCGACCAGGGCGAGTGGAATGGCGAGAACGTGAAGAGAAAAGCAGAGGCCCTTCAGGTGTTGGAGGAACGGTTATTTGGCCCGTTGTGAGCTGTTTCATGGTGGTGGAAGGTGATGACCCAAAGGGGAGGGACGCCTAGCAGGTAGTGATAGGCCGGGATACGGGCGGACTTCTACCAGTGTCACCGAAGAGGCAATGGACGCTTGGAACAAAAGTCTAACAAATTCAACGCTAATTCTATCAAGTAGAAGGGGGTATAATCGCTAGTGTCTATGCCTGCCGTGCAATTTGTATCATGAGAGTCCCAACAAGCAAGTACATCCGTGATATCCAAAACGTGGACAACTTTCTAAAAACGCAAGAGACAAGAAGGATGACACGAAAAACACCAACGACATGACATGGGTATTAGGCAAGCGAATTGCCTGGTCTATATACCTGCATACCGTCATCATCCTGCCATGTCTTGAGCTCCTGCACAACCGTGGAGCCGTCTTCAGGCCTCACGTTTTGTAGCCAGCCTTGCACATGGCTAGGGTACAGCTTCGTTGGAGAGCCCGTAATCGGACCAGAGAGGGCACCGGGTGTGGTCTCTCTGTTCACAGGGCTGTGCACTGATCCGCTCTGCTGCTTCTCCGCGGGCACAGTCAGCTGCTCATGCTCCTTGCGGTGAATGACTTCGTGCAGCTTATCAACCAGCGGCTTCAGGTCGTTGAGGACGTTATGACAATCCTTCCCATAGTCACTGCCGGTCATGGCCTCATTCTTGAACACCTCCTTCGCCTTGTCGATCAGGAACATATCGTATACCCTTTGGTTGACAAAGAGGATTTGGTGCATCAGAAGGATGATGGCGGCATTGAAGATGTGATGGAGGTCTTGCACAAGCAGCTTCTGACCGGGGCTGATGATTTGTAGCCGCCTGCCGATGCGGAGGTTGCGCCGTGCGGCATCACTGCACTTGCGGATGGCTCTGGTCCAAGGGTCCTCCGGTTCCGCTCCGGGGCCCTCAAGCCCAGGTGTCAACCAAGTATTGGCCACCTTCTTCTTGACAGCGGTGAGAAACGCGGGACGGATTGCCAAGATGATGAGCTAGAACGGAACCGTTAGCTGTCTGTCATGAACATCATGTGAGACGTGAAAACAGGGCGCATACCTGGTTGTAAGCCATGTGCAGCGACAACAGAGCCCGGTCAGTACCTAGTGACGGGTCCTCGGCTTCGGGCTGGAGGGCATAGTAGTAATAGTTACTAGGACTCTCCTCCAGGTTGTCGAGCTTCAAGCTCTCGGGTAGGTTCTCATGCCATTGGTCGAGCTTTCCAATCGCAACCGAGAAAGGCAGTTCATCGGATCCGTCGGCCGGCTTGTTCGCATGGTGACGATAGCTGTTGTTGACAATGTAGGCGGAAATTTTGGAGAGCTCCACATGTGCACAAAGCCCAAGAGGCGAAGGAAGGCCCCTATGAGACACGCACTATTAGCCCATGTATGACGGTGAAGGTACAGTGAAGGGTACAACTCACGGTGCTTCCTGTGGCAGGGATAGGGTAATGGCCTGATGAGGGACGGCGGGTGGGCGACCCATCAAGCAGCTCAGCCAGCTAGATAGAAGGAACAAACATGTATGTGTCAGCGAGTGGGTGGCTGGTTGACGCCCGGAGATACCACCGGTAGGTAAGGAGAACAACAATGGGAATGGCATGGGCTTACCGATCGATAATGTAAACCGTCCAAAAAGTCCTACGCTCGATCTCGGTTACCGAACTTTCCCTGTGCACGCCGTGCATCACGCTAAGATGCATCGCGTTACTGATGGCCATGTAGGCGGCATCTCTGCGATTGTTCTCCACCAGGTACAGGGCCATCAGGGCCAAAACGGCCACGTTGTAGATTGTGTAGGACGTCATGTCCAGGGGGTTTCCGATCAGCAGCCTAGCCGCCGCATAGTGGGCTTCGCCCAATTGGCCATCGACCCGGGAATTCTCCTCGGTCAGGGTCAGCAGATGGGTGAAGGCAAAGGCCGTGTAGACCAATGCCAGCTGGCCGTGCTCCCGAGCGGTGTGGTTCCGGGGTTTAGTGGTATCCAGCTTGAAGCCAGTGCCAAAACCGGACTGGCCCGGTAGCGCCATCTTGGCGGGGTCCTGGAATGGCCAGAAAAAAATGCCGCCGCACCCTGCCTTGCCGTTGTCGTCCTGGAGGAAGGTCTTAAACTGCGTGATCATTGCCTGGATTTCCAACTGCGTCGGGATGCGCGGCTCCACGTCTATGGCCGGGAGCAGGAGAGGACGGGAATCGAACGTCTGGTAGCGACCGACCGAATTGAGGAAGGTGGCATTCCTGCTGCCGTCGGGCGTGTCGGGGTTGGGAGAGAGTCCCTTGGAGGCCAGCGGCTGCGTCGTCTTGATGAAGGCCTTGAGCGAGTCAAGGAAGGTGGCGCCGGAGGTTTCTCCCAGGTAGCGAGCGGTACCCTCGGCATCGGCAAGCATTCTGCCGTCGTCGACGGGGTAGTCCATCTGCATCTCCGTGTCCTCATCGATGGGGAAGGCAGGCTCAGGTTTGGGGTTGTGCGCATGGACGGGGTAGTCGTAGTACGAGGTCGTGGACGTGACCGAGCCTTCGGTAAGATAGGCATGGCCGGCGCCTCCTAGGCCATCTGGCGGCGAGTCGATGCTCATGCCGCCCTGCTCCCCTTCATGGACAACGTGCAACGGCTGAAGCAAGACGCTGAGGTCGATCTTGCTGTTGCCCTTGCCACTGCCATTGCCATGGCCGTCAGTCTTGCTGGTGATGTTGAGCTGGTTCTCGTATTTCTTTATCTTGTCAACCAGGTTGTCGATCAAGGTCTGGGGACGGTGACCTTCTTAATGCCCTGGGGGTAGATGCACTGGCGCTGGGCCTGGGTACACTGGCGACAGGGCTTTTCGCCGGAGCACTTGATGCGCTTGACATTGCAGTTGTTGCAGGCGAGGGCGACGCGCTTGCGCTGCTCGGGCGCGACCTTCTTCCTCCGCGGATTGACGGGTAAGCGAAAGTTGGGATCGTCGGCGCCCGAACTCTTGGACGACCTCGGCATATCTTGTGAAGCCAGCTTGTCGGTGTGGTGTTGCTGTCACCTGCACCCCTGTATCCCAAGTGGTGGTGGTGGTGCTCGCCTTGGGTTCGGGAAGGAGGAGGGGGAATGCCGAAAAGGTGGGCGAGAAGAGACGGTAGGTGAGGGACGGTAGGATGATGAGGCGATTGGGATCACACTGGCACCCGGCCACACTTTCCATCTGGCAGTGTGCGTCAAATAGCCTTGGGTTCTTGCCAGTGCCGCGTGGTCCTGTCCCACCTGATGTCGACGGCGAGGATGGTGATGATGCGTTGTCTTTTCAGTCAGTCGGTCAGAGACTCAGAGTCACCGCAAGAGTGAGTTGTCAAAGGGGTGGGTGAGGTGAGGTGAGGTGAGGTGAGGTGAGGTGAGGTGAGGTGAGGTGAGTGAGTGTGTGAGTGAGGTGTGAGATCTCGCGCGAGTGTCGGTGTCGGTCTGGTGTCGGCCCGGCGTCAAGTCAATGAGCGATATGAGTGAGGTGAGGTGAGGTGAGGTGAGGCCGAGGTTATGTCGATGGAGGTGTGTACAGGCGTGAGTGACCACTGCTGCACACAAAGCCGAGGACCTACTCCGTCGCTGACAGCACGGCTCCCCCTCTTGACCGACCGGTGTGGTCCGTGGTCGCGATGGTGGTGGCACGTCCAGACGGGCGTCAGGTCGTGTCGTGGGGGGAGGAAGGAGGGTGGTGAGTTGGGTGAAGCTGACTCGAGATGAAGTATGAGGAAAGAGAGAACGAAGAAGAGAAGGAGTGGAGGAAAGAAGTGAAGAGAAGAAGATTGGAAAGAAGG